GAATCATTTGCAACTTGTACTGTAGGTGGCGTGTGAGACCATGCTAAATGGAACTGACATGCTGTCGGCTCTTAGAGACACTGTTGGTAAGGAAAATGTTCTCTTGTTCGTTCAGTCTCAGCTGGAATAAGAAAAGCTTTGTGCTCATTTGATTACATAACAAATACAGGTTCTCAAATTTCTGTCATTAACTATTGTTCCCCTCCTCTTAGGTATTGTCTATAACTCTACAGGGGAGCATGCATGCTATGACCTCTACTCTCTCTATGTGGAGTGTGCTGACCCCACTGGCTGTGGCCTCGGCTTCAACAGCTTTGCCTGGGACTATCAGGTTCTTCTGAGTTTGATATACTAATGTATACTGCCTCTTAAGTAGAAGAATTGTCTATACAGTTGTCCTTTACTTGTGATCATAAGTCTAAATTCAAAGTTTTATTGGTTGGACAGCCCAATGAACAACCTCCATTAGTTCAGAGCCTGCTTCAGTAATGCAAAGCAGTAATATAACTTTAATAACGGTGCTTTGCATGCAAGTCAAAGTGACTGTGGTGCTTTTGTGTTCATCAGGCATGCACAGAGATTGAGTTGTGCTTTGAGAGCAACAACGTGACTGACATGTTCCCACCTTTGCCCTTCACGGAGAGCATGAGGGAGCAGTACTGCGCTAAGAGGTGGGCGGTGGTTCCACGGCCAGGCTGGCTCAAAACCCAGTACTGGGGGGACGGTAAGCATCACAGACACTTCCATAACCACTAGAGTTGCCTTTAAAGCAATAGTTTAGGAAGTTCTTCTTTAGTCTTGCACTGGAGCTACACAGAAAATGTAGCTAAAAGAGTAATGGAAGCTTAAACCGAGCAACTACCCAGCCTCAAAGTTATTAAAACCCCAGTCAACCTGATTTCAAATGTTTCAAATTGTTTTAAAAGGAGATGCCACAGAATAAATTGTTTACCAGCTGTTTAACATATTCCTTGAGATGTAATAGTAGATAAATGCTCCAAAAATTCAAGCTCCTGCCTTCTCAGAATTGTGTGGGCGTGTTCAGCCCTACATGTTTAAGCCCCCAGTGCTGAATGCTCAGCGTTAACATTATATCTGTAACCTACAGCTTCAGCTGAAGGCATAAGTTTACAAACACTTAGGCTGAAGTCATTAAATTCATATTTATCCCCTCCACAGATTCCATGTCAACAGACTATAGTTTTAGCAAGTTGTTTAGGATATCTACTTTGTTCGTAGCACAAGCAATTTTTCCCCCACACATGTTCACACACAGATTATTTCACTTATAATTCACTATATCAGAATTCCAGTGGGTCAGAAGTTTACATACACCAAGTTGACTGCACCTTAAAATAGCTTGGAAAATTCCAAAAAATGATATCATGGCTTTAGAAGTTTCTGTTAGACTAATTGACATCATTTGAGTTATTTGGAGGCATAGCTGTGGCAGTATTTTAAAGCCCACTTTCAAGGCCTACTTACCATTTTGCTTGACATCATGGGAAAATCAAAAGAAATCAGCCAAGACGTCGTAAAAATTATTGTGGACCTCCACAAGTCTGATACATCCTTGGAAGCAATCTTCAAATGAAGGTACCATGTTGATCTGTTCAAATGATAATATGCAAGTTTAAACACCATTTGACCACACAGCCATCATACTGTTCAGGAAGGGGACACGTTCTGTCTCCTGGAGGTTAACATATTTTGGTGCAAAACATACAAATCAATCCAAGAACAGCAGCAAACGACCTTGTGAAGATGGGGAAGCAAACAGGTACAGCAGCATTTATATGAACAGTAAAACGTGTCCTATATCAACATGACCTGAGAGGTCGCTCAGCAAGGAAGGAGCCAGTGCTCCAAAACCACCACAAAAAAGCCAAAATACAGTCTGCAACTGCACATGGGGACAAAGATCTTACTTTTTGGAGAAATTACCTCTGGTCTTATGAAACAAAAAATGCCAAATTTAGTCCCACCAAATTCAAATCAAAGTGAAGAAAAATCTATCTATATAGAAAAGACCAACATCATTCTTTCTGGGCTAGTTCATTGTAAAAGCGTCACAAAACCTACAGATAACAGACGAAAATCATGAAAATGAGTAGGCAGGGGTTTTAAATCATTTTAAATAGACATGTTTATGTAGTTTCAGACACTGTAGGACATGCTGATATCTGTAAAAATGAAAGTATAACACATGGCTAAAACCAGGAATAGCAGCCATTTTGAAACCTGAATTTTGCATAGTTTTCCATTTTCATGTCATGCATACATGCCTGTTTCAGGCCTAATGCCACATTAGTGACCACTGGGAACTGGGACATTCACAGTAATCTGACACTTGTCTCCTGTGGGCATCTAAAAGGCCTGTAAAACCTTTACACCGAAGCTGTTTGGTTAGTGTGTTAGTCATTTTGCCTGTAGTCTGAGGCAATTCACCATTAATATAGTGCCAATAATGACAACTAATATTTGCAGTTATCCAGGTATCACTCTAGATAGTAGAGCCTGGCCGATATGAAAAATGTGTGCCATACTGATTTAAGGGGGTAAAAATTCTGATAACCAATATAACATGACCAATGTAATTTTATATTCAAGTTTATAAATAGTTTTAGTTAAGCAGTGCTTTACTGACTGACATGATTATTAGTTCTCAATTATCACACATTATACATTCAACTGAACAAGAGAAACTGACGTTCTTAGAAATATATCATAGCCCTGGGAGTTTAGCTTTTTCATTGGTTCTCCTCAATAAAAAAGGCTTTTGTGTGTTTTGACATGTTAGTCTCAAGCTAAAGGTTAGGGTTGGAAGAGATTTGATTTTTATTTATTTATTTTTTATTAGCCAAGATGGTGTTTTGTGCTTCAAATTCCAGAAACGTCATTTAAATTGTTTTTTCCTACTCGGAAGTTGGAAATTTTCCCAGTGCAAAACTACAGAAGCAAACTTCATACATCAAACTGATCTCTGTTTGGGTTACAGGGGAAAACTGAAATGAAACTTTGACTTTTCTTCAAACTATTACTTCAACTTTCCGGGAACTAGGACAGCAGACCTGCATGGATGGACCTTTATCATTCATTTAGAATTACAAGTTCACTTAGACCCAGATGAATGCTTGAGCATATCTGATGCAATGATGAGGTAAACGTTTAATGATCATTGGCCTTCCTTTGCAGCTCTTTTAACAGCGAGCAACATCATTTTCTCAAACGGCGATTTGGATCCGTGGGCCAATGGAGGGGTAAGACACTAGACTGCACCAGTCCCCTGGAATAATTTCTTATCCCCAGCATGTAATTACTGAGTATTATACACACCACAGTACTTCTCCCTGATGGTGTAATGCTGATGTGATAATTGGAACTCTGACATTTTTCATTTCTCTTCCAGATCAGGAAGTCTCTGAGTGAGTCTCTGATTGCAATCAACATACCAGAGGGAGCTCATCATCTGGATTTAAGGTGAGTCTATTGGGGAACTGAAGCAACGGTTAAACTGCTATTCATTTTGTGCTGTATTATGAACTACATCATGACTATGTTTTACAACATATAAATGTGATAGAAAAAGCCAAACCCTGTGCTGTACAGAGGTGGGTTTTGACATGTACTTTTGTACTTTTTGTTCCTTGTTGCACCTTGTTCCTGGAGGAACGTAATTTCGCTCCACTGTGTACTTGTACATAGATGGAATGACAGTAAAAGCCTCTTGATTGACTTGGGTGAAGCAGTCTAAACCTATATTCAAGTAAAAGTATTTGTTACTTCAGTTAATGAAAAAAAGTTTTGGAAAAAAAGACTTTAGTGCAAGTACAAATGCAGGAGGTCAAAATACTACTGTTAAGTAACTTTTAGAATGGCAGTGGAACTTCTTAATACATCCATCATCTATCAACACGAGAACTAAAGCTTTTTAGGTCTAAAATAAAAAGATAAGCTTTCAGTAAGAGGTTTGACCAATTGCAAAGCACTAAAAAAATGGCTGTAGCCAACATGATAAAACTACAACACAAATATTTTTCTTTTCTCAAAAATATACTTGAGTAAAAATAAATGTATTATCTTTTGAAAAAAACTCAAATGGTACAAACCCATCAAGATTTTACCTCAGTACATGGAACTTGGCAAAGAAAGTACTGCCCACCTCTAGTGCTATGGGTTTTATGCATGTACTTTTCAAAAAACAATACAATTTCTGTTTCAACATTTGCTATCTTTGTACTACTTTCAGTTAAATATAGGGTTTCAGTGATTTGCACATTGCATTCTGTTTATATCTACATTTTGCCCAGCGTTCAAACTTTTTGGAAACAGGGTTCTACATCATGAAATTCCTAAATTTAATGTGCCTCTTGACACATCTTGGACTAGCGTTAACACCGAAACTTCACTTACCTGTCGTATAACAGCTTGTGTTATCAGACAGATGATTAGTCTGTTGTTTTGCAGGGCATCCAATGCAGCTGACCCTGACTCTGTGATCAAGGCACGGCAAAAAGAGGCTCAAGTCATCGCTCAGTGGGTGAAGACTGCAAGGGAAAAGACAATCTGAAATTCTTTTTTAGTATTACATGTAATTATTTCAGTGCTTGATTTCTTTTTTTAGACATTAAAACAAGGTTGAAATAAAGGATCCTTCAGAAACTTACCTCTCCACTTAAGTATTTCAGCCCAAAAAAGCACAACAGATTTCAGAAATAGGTATTTATTGACAAAAGGTTTATCTTTGTACAAGCTTACCAATTACACACACACACACACACACACACACACACACACACACACACACACACACACACACACACACACACTTACTTCCCAATATCACAACCCTCAAATTCATAGCACAAACAAAGCCTAATTATCCTTGACGGATTCCACAATCAGCTGACAGCTCGGGCACTTAACTGTTTTATTAGCATCAGCATCAGCATTAGCAACATGCTTCACCGATTAGCTGCTGTAAGGACCTCTTGAATGTGTTTTAAAGAATCCCACGTAACACATTATGTCTTTGGTCAATGAATGATTAAGGACCACGTCAATTACAATAATTTAAGACATTTACACACATCACTGGGAAAAAATAACACATGAAAAGCCCTTAATTGTGTATGTAAAATTGTGAAAGCTTATTCTACATTTTGACACATTACAACACAATGCACATAGGTTGGTTTGATTGATCATCAAATGGATATGGCATGTTCAGTTATTTACTTCTCATAAATTCTATCATAAATAAGCATAAAAGTGTTTGTATCTACAAGAAATCTGTAAACACAGCCACATTGATAGGATGGTTAAAATAGTGACATTTCCATACAAACATGATTCTCAGGACTCAAAATAGAACATTTCATTATCATTGCTCAGTAAGGAGTCAAAGGCACAGGTATGACAAAACATAAGGGGGGGTGATGACAGAAAATCCATTCAGTCTTTTCAGCCCTTGTTGGTTAGAACTGTTGGCTCGAACTGTTGGCTCATATTCACACTTGAGCCCAATTTCTGTCAGCTAAGACAAAATGCAACATGTGAAACTAACCAACAAGTAACTGATCAGTCTGTTTAAGAAATACAGCTACTTAATCCAACTATCTATACATTTACATGGTCTAATATACTACAGCTCAAATGTATGAGAAGGCAAATCACATGTGCTGTTATGTAAAAAATAAAAACATCCATTTCTTACATAGGTCCCCTGATAAGCAACATGGCAACATCAGTCACATAGATGGAGTAAATATTGAAAAACATGTTCTTCAAATATGATATTGTGCTTACTAATCCCTCTTTAAATAGAAGTTTCATTACAACTGCAGAACTCACAGGCCATAAATAGTGTATGTCTGTAGGGGAAAGCAAACCAAAAAAAAAGTAAAATCTAAGCCTATAATTGACAAAAAAAGCCTATATACATAAATGGCAGTAACCTCTTGAGGCAATATGGGGTAAGGTCAAGAATCAACATTGAAAGAAAAAAAAAGAAAGTATAGCTTCATTTTACAAGACAATATCTACAAAAAACAAAAACGAATGACATACATAATACCAAAAACAACAGCGAAATAGATTTGATGGCAAGCACAAGGACATAAAACATAACAACATAGAGGAGAAAAACAATAAAACAAACTAAAAACGCAGTAGTGCACAAGCACATTTCTCCCTCAAAATGTACAAAATGTACTCCAGAGGAGAGAAGAAGAAACACAAAGTGCTTGTATAAAAAGCTTCACAGTTTGAAAGCGAATTAAACTCCTCCTTGGGCTGAGCAAAACGGCATAAAAACAAACAGCTAATTTTAGAGGGCGGCTGAACGGCAGTATAATTCCTGCCTGTCGCCCGCTGCTTCTCTCTTTCCCTCTCTGCAGTGCTGTGGCTTAGGCTATAATCACATCACGTCACAGCTGACTCACATACCCGTACCGACTGCCGATCCCTCTCCGATGATGGAGAATGAGGAGTAAGCACAGTCCTACTGGATATGGTTAGGAATAATCCTGATAAAGCTCAGAGCACAGAGAGTACTGGATTGTGTTATTAAGAGGAAGTCCCAGCATAAGTGAAACTATGGAGAACAGAGGTATTCGTCTCCAGACCCTGAATCTGGGTCCTGAATTTTGTGAAGTTTGTCAAGTTGATGTCCCAAAGTATCAATTAAGCTACTTAAGCTACTGTGAGGTGCACTGCTGACACAAGCGCTCAACTGTGCATTACTAGCTTGTGTAATCTCCATAGAAAACAGACAAAACTCACAAGCAGTAAAAAGGTGGCAAGTTCAGAAACCAATCCTCTGGCCCATTCCAGTAAACTCTAGCACTAAATTACATGGGGTAATTGCTGTTGCTATATTTGGTGAATTGAGTTCAATGACTATGAAAAACAAGTCATGTCCAAATATTGTAATGTTTTTCTTTTTTTGTGTGTCAAGTATTTTGACTATTGTGAAGAATGTGTTGCTTACCATACCAAGGTCAAGTGGCCAATATATTGAGATCCCACAGTACATCATTTTCAGATGTAAACTACATGGAAGCCGTCTGTGTTGGTTGCTAACAATGACAATTTACATGTTAACCTTTTTTCGCCCTCTGTTTGAAAGCTATTGGAAGTAACATTTTCTTAATTCTGATTGGCCCATAAAAAGCAATGCCACATCTTTGGGATGGCTGAAGCAACTGCTGTGCCGTTTCAGGGAGAGTAGAAAGTGATAGCGAATTTTCTAAACCAATCCAACAAATAGAATAGAATATTTTAACACCAATGTTATATTTTTGAGTGTGTTTGAACGTCAGTTATAGGACTTTATAACTGTGCCTTAAGTACATTCATTAAGTCAGTGAGTGTGAACCACTTCACTCCGCCAATAAGTTGATCAGCAAACCAACCAATCAGCACTCGGTAACAGTAATGCTAGCTCTGGATTTTGAGGCGGTGTACACTGCAGATTTCACTGCAATTCAGCAACAAAACTAACAATTTGAACCCGAGTGCGTATTCTCATTGCGAGATCACGTCTTGCCCCACAAGACTAAGTAATGTTACGTGAGCAGGTGTAGACAAACTTTCGGTTATATAGTGTATGACACTACGTAGCCAGTCAGTTACACCAACAGTTCAATTAATAGTGATAACAAAATCCAGGCCCAGAAACTGGATTCAAGGTCCAGAGTTGAGGACCTGTGATGTTGAGTGTGATTTCCACTCTAAATATGAAAATAAAAAGACAATAAAAGAAGCGAACCACTTCACTTCCTGTTAACAGACACTTATGCTCTGCATGTTTTTATAAAGGCTACTACAATCATTTCAATTAATCAAATGAATTCCAATTATGAAAATAGTCTTGTTCCCAGAGTTGAAAAAGAAGCATGGCAGTTTAGATATCAAAGGGATTGAGAAATCCTTGTGTAAGGCCCTGAGAGAAGTGGATGTGTGTGTACATATATGTATACATGTGTGTCCATGTCGGTGCCCATTACTCTGCCTGTGGCCATATGGGCAAAGGATGGGCCTCTGTATTGAAGACATACTTGTCCAAGCTAATAAGGTTAGGATCGTCTGAAAACAGCAGGTAGAAGTACTTAAGCGTCTCTCCGAGGAAGAAGCTCTCCATCTTGTCTCTGGGACTCGGATATTTTGGGTCCCGCACATTATTGATGGAGGTATAACCACCCGTCTCGACCTAGGGGGACAAGCCAGCGTCAGAATTAAGGGACAATTTGAGACCTGTCTCAAAAAACAGGATTTTCTTTGGTAGCCAACTTTAAGCTTCAATCTAACCCTGGACCCTCTCATGACATTGGAATGCTTTTACCAAATACTACAGCACCTTGAAAACTTATACTGCATGATAAAACTGCTCCAGGGCAGGTTAATTTTGGGAGTTTGGATCAAAAACAGCCATAGACCAGTCAGGGCCGAATTTCTGACCACGCAGGTACTGCTCCAAAAAGTACTAACATGGTGGCAGTGGCGACAGCACTGTTTTTTTTTTCTGTTATAAATGCTTGACTTCCTACATGTTTATGTTGTGTGATTTCTTTCTTCTTCTTTGAAACATAAGCCACTCTATTCCATATTTCAAACGATTGGCTGTTAAAAAATTGTCACACTTTCATGTGCATGAAGATTAATCACAGCTCGAGTATCTAAACCTGGATTAACAACAAAAGTTGTTAACTGTCGTGGTAAAATGCTAACCACAGCTGCATTTGTTAGGTTTTCTGAAGCTGAAACTTGGTCAGGAATTCCAAGTTGAGCCTATTTCGTGAGACAGGCCTGGAGAGTATGAAGAAAAGGCATGCATCGAACCTAAAAGCAACTGAGCATTTGGGGAAAGGCAAACCAAAAGCAATGAACTCAAATGGAGCAACTCAAAACCTAGTGAAATGAGAGAAGGCGTGCATCAAAGCAACTGAAACATTTAGTGCACGATTGAGTCACTGACACCTTTGTTGGGCTTGCAGCCAGCACTGAAGAGAGAACTGAGTGACTGGAGACTACTTGACTCTATCATGTATTACAAGTAAATATTACAAGGACTAGTCCAAACTAGAATCAAAAACAATACTACAGTACAGCTGTCACGAACGCTCACTTAAACTCACTTACTTGACTGAAAAAAATCTATAAAATTGTACTTTATGCATGAATCTGTGGTGACTAGCCATTTGTATAATGCTAATGCATGTTTTAAATTATTCTACCAGTCCCTCTTACAGTAAGAAACAAAAACTCATACACACCCATTTAAAAGCTTTTTTTTTTGCCATTTTTTATATACTTGAAGGATTCCTAGTATATCTACTTTTTTACTACCACTTTGTAATCAATGAAAGGTTCTTCATGTTTTATTATGTATCAGTATAAAGTTCATTTTTATTATTTGGAATACAAAAAAGCCTCAATAACTCAAACAGAAAAATATTCACATTACCAATTTGAGTAAATAATACAGCCTTAAAATGAAGATTTTCTGTCCTACTCACCCTTGTGTACGTATTGAAGCTTTGAAGGATCTCCCAACCCCAGTTCTGGTACTTCTTGTCCTTCGTGAGGCGGTACAGGTAGAAGAGGCTTTCCACAGTCTCTGGTCGTAAGAGGTTGTGTCTGTCTGCAAGCTGTGGATGCACAGTGGACAGAAACATTTTAGCTATGACTGCTCAATAGATAGGACAGACAGACACTACACAATAGCTCTAGCTTTACAATGAATTAACTCAGGGCTGCAAAGACAGAACATTCTGATTATTATTACTCAAGTAAATTAATTGACAATCTATTCATCGGCTTAAATGTGGCCTACAAATGTGAAGAGCTGTAACAAAAAAATTGGCAATGTTCTGACAAACTGAGGTACTGTTCACAAAGAGCTAAACTGAGGAAAAACACGTCTTGCTTTGTTTGAGCCACCTCATAATCCTGAGCTGCTGTAAGTGCTAAACTTCAGCGAAAAATATGTACAATAATAATAAAAGTGTACACTAAGGTTACAGCTCTTCAGGTAGCAGCATCATTTGACCGGTTTCACATTTTAACGCCAGTCTGTAGTATTTTTAGTTCACGAGATGAGCTGTGTGTGACGAGGTTTCCAGGAGAACAGATGGTATTTTTTTTCCCCACATGAAAACTATGTTTACAGAATGAGTTGTATTATAAGCTAATCAATCAATTTACACAGCTGGTCTACTCAAGTAACACTGCAACAGGAAGAGCTCCAGAATATTCATTAGTTTTTTTGAAGTAGCTGCTTAATACTTTTAATGAACAGAATCAGATACAGCATAGAGTACTCCAGTGACTATCATGTAAGATGATGAGCTTTAGTGATTTTGTACAGTTCTGACAATCTGACAAATCACAGCCTGTGCTAATAGAGTTGTTTGGTTTGTTAGAACACCGGCACAGAAAGAACGATACCACTGACTGACCGTTCTGCTGCCTCAGAATCAATGGCAGCATATTTCTGGCCAAAGCTAAAGTTGTGCTTCCGTGGAAAGCTAAGTCAGACTTGCATTTCACTGCTGTCGGAACAAAACCTCCAAAAACCTCCAAAATCTCCAAAATGGAAACTTTACAGGAGAAGGAAAAAACCTACTTTACTTTTAATGTAAGTCAATGTAATCAGACTTTTTTCCCCAGGAATTCTCGGCCGTTTCTTTTGGTCCATTAATCATAAAATTTACCCACAATGTAAAGAGAAAAGGGGTACAGAGTTTTGTTCCGACAGCAGCGATATGTTGTATGTGACTACTTTATCCTTCTTTTTAAGAAAATGTTCACTGACTTTATTTCTTTTTGAACTAATTCTTCTTTTTCTTGCAGTCACTATGTGACCCCAAGAGAACTGCTGCTCTCTTCCAGTTAAGTGTTTAATCACTCTAGTTGGGATGCCACTTTGAAAACAACAACAAATTAACAATAGAAATACTTTATCAACAGTAAGCTAATCTACAGAAACTTTGCCATAATTCTGTCAATATTATGTAAACATGCAAAGGCACAATTTATGCACAAAGAGATACTATGATCTGTTTAATCAGTGTGTTAGAATTAGACTTGGCCAATGTGTAACTTGGCCAATGTAATGGTGTGAAAGAAGTTGTTGTATTTTCGAATACGAATGATAATACAGTTTTTTTGGCTTATTTAAATTGCCTATAGGTGATTTTGAAAAATGAATATTGCCCAACCCTAGTTACAATCACTTTGTGGCAACCAGGTTAAACCTAAGCCTAGACTAAAAAGGTTTCCAATGATGATTCACCAAACATATTCCTTTATGTACCGGGTTCAAATATGCTGAGAATAATGAGAAAGAGGAACAACAATTTGCGAGTCGTGAACTACACAGTAAGTGTCTGTCTTTCTCATCTCCTCACATCGACTGAAACTCACTTTTACTTTTCAAAATTCTGTACATCTTGGCACAATTTGTACAGAAATGCATTGTGTTACAAAATTAAAGCAAGTTCCTGAATACTTCCAGCTTGCTCACTGTGGGACACAGTTTAATGTCCCCACTCACTTTAACATCTACATCCTGTGCGCTGCCCGTCTGCGTGTTGAAGTGCGCAATCTCCGGAGCTAGGCCCGTCTCCATCTGGGCGTACATCTGGTAGCAGGTCTCCATCAGCTGCTGCGCCAGCTCCATGTGCTCAGCGGCCAGGCCGTGATGTGCCCCCAGGGCCAGCGTACCAGGCAGGAAACACACCAAGTGGTCCTGAGGGAAATGAGAGAGAAAGAGATAGAAAAAGAGAGAATAAACACTCTATTTATGGCAGCCTTTGTAACATACTTCTTTACTTTCCTGCTTACCTAAAAAAATCTGTTTCAAGGAACGGTTTCTGAACAGCAAAACATCAATGTGTAATACAAATATAGCTCATAGTGGGCTTTTAAATTCAGAAACAGAAATAGGGAAATTTACATTTTTCATTTCTGTTATTCAGATAGGCAGCTGTCACATACCATTTTGGGACTGAAATGACCGTGAGACAGTTCTCCCACAAACGTAAGGCCAAGAGGAGAAGACTTCTTCAGCAGGTTCTTTTTAATCCCCTCTACAGCCTGCAGATAGTCCTCCAATAACCTGCACATACACACAACAGCCTTAACACACGGAGGGTGTGCATGTAAATGTTTAAGTCATTTAATCTTGTGGATAAATGCTGCACGGAAGAGTGGATACAAAGTTGAGACAGGAAGGAGAGAGAGAGAGAGAGAAAGAGTGAGAGAAAATGCAAGTTTCAAGAATGAAGGAGAAGAAAGAATAAAAAGAAATGGGGGAGAAAGACAAAAGAAAGGAGAGGTGGACAGGGGGAGAGAGAGAAAAAGAGGGAGAGAGAATGCAAGAGTGTGTGAGCGGAAGAGACAAAAAAATACAGGTATGAGACAGAAGAAGAAGAATAAAGAAGAACAGAGAGATACAGGAATGCATGAATGAAACAGAGGAAGGAAATGCAAGAGTATGTGTGGTTAAAGAAGAAGGAGGAAAAAGAGAATGCAAGCATGTGCTAGAGAATGACAGAACACACAAATGTAAAGAAAAAAGAAAATACAAAAAGAGAAACAGAGAGAGATAATGCAAGAATGAAAGAGAGGGAATGCAAAAGTATGTGTGAGAAAGAACAACAAAGAAAAGAAAGAAAAGGAGAAGAAGTGAGTGAGAAAGAGACAATGTAAGAGTGAGAGCAAGAGACAGAGAAAGAAGACAGAGGGAATGCAAGAACCTGAGAAAGAGAATAATGAACAACAAGAAAGAGAGTGAGAGGACGGAGATAAAACGCCACGGGCGAGAGAGCATGTAAGAATGAAGGAGCATTAAAAAAAGAAGAAACAGAGGCAGTGAAGAAGGAGGAGGGGGACAGAGAGAAAAGATAGATAGATGGGGAGGAAGAGAGAGAGAGAGAGAGAGAGAGAGAGAGAGAGAGAGAGAGAGAGGAGGAAATAAAGAACCGTGTGATGAGCGCTACCAAAAGAACAGAGAGGAAGAATGAAAGAGAAAAGAGAGGGAATGCAAGAGTGTGTGTGAAAGAAGGAGAACAAAGAAAAGGTGAACAGAGGGAGAAAAAGAGAAACAGAAGAAGGGAAGGGAGAGAGAAAAAAAAGGAAGAGGAAAAAACAGCAGAAGACTGCATTATAATGCAAGAGTATGAGAAAGAAGAAGAATGAATAAAAAGAGACAAAAAGGGGAGAGGGAGGACAGAGAGGATGAGAAAGAGAGAGCGTGTAAGAGTGAGAAAGACAGACAGACAGAAGGACAGAGATGAAATGAAAGTGAGGAAGAAGGAGAGGAACGAAGAGAGAGCAAGAAAGAGATAAAACAGATCGAGAGACAGAGAACATGAGCGGGCGAGAACACGAGAGTTGAAATTCTTCTGTTAAACTCAAACTCACAGATACTCACTGTGGGTCAGTGCTGTCTGAACTACTCATCCACAGCAGGCAGAGCCCCCCTGGGCCGTTTAAGACATTCTGCTTTGTGTACGCACACAGAGCCAAACCCATTCAGTTTGAATCTGTCTGTAAGAATCAGTGCACAGCCTTCATCCCCTGACTGCTATATCCACATAACGTTGCCACATTGTTTTACTGTATAGGCCACGCCAACGGCTAAATCAGAATGGCTTAGCGGGACGCCGGGGCTGTGCAAATGGCTCTCTGTTACTGCGAATAAATGTTTAATGCCTCGCTTTTAACCGCATTCCGCCCCTGGAGATAAAACCAATATCACTCGACAGGCTATGAATATTTTAAGTCCTTATGTACACACGCCATTTGTCAGAGCAAAGGAGGGAAAAGAGGCACCATGCAGTTTAATCAGACTCAGAATATTGTGGAGAGTTAGGTAAGTGCTGAGCAGATCAAACAGGGGCGAGGGAATGAAAGCTGTCGTCTGTGTCAGCGAGCCACATAATCCAGATTGATGTTACCTGCTGTGAGACAGCAGCAGTACAGGCTTCAGGAACAGCACAGAGGGGACAGAGGACAAACTCTTACGTAAAAAAGAAAAGCAACAGAGAGAGAGAGACAGCTGACTCACTCAGTCTCCTTCTTGCCACCCTGGATCCACTGCTTGAGCAGGTACTCATAGTAGCTGTCAGCCCTGGCGCCCAGAGTGTAGATGCCCAGGTGGGTGAACTGCCCGTTGTTGGTGTTGATGAACATGGGCACCAGACCATCCTGCTTGCCTTCCAGTTTGTGCACCAGCTGCATCACCTCCATCACTGCAGCCTGGAGACAGAGAACCAAGTCAAATTCTAGCTTATTATTCAGTTATTTATCTCAATGCTTCAATAACTGCTATGAATTATTCAGTAACTAAAATGAAACTAATAAGTAAGCCATGTTATAAAAGTACTACAAGGAACTGACACATGGACTAGCATACTGGCCCTTAGGGTTTAAGGGGTTAACAATCTACTGTTATCACACCAAACAGAAGATCTGACCCATACACAAACAAACAATGCCTCCACCTGGTATTTAGGGTCTCCAGTGAGGCGGCTGAGTTCACGGAACTCCAGCTGGATGCTGGTCACCTCGGCCACAGTGCTGTCGGAGGTCCAGCGCGGGGGGTGAGCAGTGCCTTTGCCGATGTTCACATCCGAGTATGGGATTTTAGAGGGGGTGCTGAAAGCGGGCATCAGCCTGGAGCCAATGTCTTTCTGCAAAAGACCAAAAATAACATCTAACATCCAGAACTGTGGGATGCTGTTGGACTTTAACATTACCATATTGTTGCCCAAAATAGAGACGCCTACGATGAGAGGCTTTGAAGTGCCTTGAAGGCTTTTTATTTTCACAGGTTGAAGTGTGACTAAGAGGGGAGCATTTGCAGGGAATGACTGTACTAATAGCAGAAGGAGTGGAGGTGGCACTAGATGCTGTACAACACATACAGCTACCTCACTTTACACACATACTCACAGCTTTCTCCAAGAACAGTGCGTCACCGGTCAGATGGTAAGTGCTGAGCAGACCACCCAGGATGCGAATAGTGCTCTCGAACAGATTCACATCCACATTCTTGTTAAAGGAGAGTTCTTTGGCCACCCACTGCTTGGCTTCTTCAAACTCTAGCGAAGTAAACAACACACAGCAGCCACTTCAGTGATGCCCCGACAATGGCGCCACAGCAAAAGATGAGGAGTTTCTTTTATACATTTACCTTTCTTCAGACCCAAGATCCACATGGTATCCAGTGCATCAATCAGAGTCAAACCCAGCCCAAACCACTCTGAATATGATTTGGAAACAGGTTTGAGCTCATCATGACCCCAGGCGAAGTCCTTGTAGCCCTTCCAGGCATGTCTGAAAGCTTCCCTCACTGCCTCCAGTCTGCTCTCCACTAGAAGAGGAGAAATATTAATGAGGAAACATGATTCCAAACCACTACACCTGCAATAGAAGAAAACACCCAGCATACTTTTATACTTGCAATGTTAAAAACATCAACACTGTATGTGCATGGTCAGCTCTAGATGCTTCGCAGATGTCCACCCTGTCATGTCTTTTTTTTTTTTCCTACCAGGCAAGTCTTGGCAGAAATTTGTTTGAAAAAAACATTAGACAGATGGTCAGATTTGACTGATCTCTCAAACCAATATGTGATGACATTAATTGTACTACAAAGTGGCAGAACGTTTAGCTAATGCTGGCTATTGTGCTAAAACATCTGCATTATACAAATTTTATAAACGTTAAATTTCATTATAAAGCTAATCCAGATGGATCTAGTCCCAGGTTCTTCATGTTTTACACGCTTGTACATCGGCATCGGTATTGGCATATACTGTACTGTGCAAAAGTCACCTAAGCAAACTGTTTAAAACCATTTATCTCAACTATATATTGTATTTTTTTGGCAGTAAAGACACTAACACTGGAATAAATACAAATGAACATAAATACAAAGAGACACCCCAAGCTATTGTATGGATTTGTGCACATCTACAACCAGCACACCAGATTTAACATTACAAAGTACAGATTAGCCGAAACAGGTACTGGACAATAACTACAAATAATGCTGGGCTGCCATGAGGACAGTTTAGGAAATGTTTCAACAGACACATTGACAGACATAAAATTAATTATTGTATTAATTATTAGTTATTTGTATTTGTTCTTTAATTAATGTTTTCTGAACAAATATATCCTTGCTGCCCCAATTAAATAGCTTTTTAGGTATAATTTTCTTGAGTACTTAAGACTTTTGCCCAGTATTTGACGTATATTAAAAACTTTGGATATTGGCATCAGCTGCAATTCCATTATTGGTGCATCCCTATCTATTCTATTAGATATCAAGATCAGACATGTCTATTAGGGCTGCACAATACTAGTATTGTGATTACATTGCTATGTATTTGCTAGCAATATGGCTTGCAATGAATTAAAAAAGATCCACAAACAATAATGTGACTTGGTTAAAGACTGGTCTGCATTATTTCGACCAAAATTATTTATTTCATTGTTGACTATGTAAACACCTTGATTCATCAAAACACACATCTGAAATTGGTCTATGACTGGTCAGGATGCTTACAGCACACATTAAAAAACACTGCAATATCGCAATAACGATTCACAAACGATATGCTGTGCAGCCATACTATCGATTAAATTAAACTTTTCCTTGAGCCTAATCCTTTCTCTATCCCTACCTTAATCTTCCCCACTACACCTCAACCTAACCTAAACCTACCTTACAGCTGCTGATAATTTTACCAGACGATCTGTTAACAATTTGACCATTTGTCAATGAACAACAGGGAAACATCTGACATTTCAAACATAAACTACATAAACACTAGTGCCACAAATTTCCAGTAAGTAGGTGTTTTCAGTACAAGATCTGAGAGAGCATACATAAACCAACCTATCTGCACCGCCGAAGGGTCCTCAGGCTCCGCTGCCTTCTCTTTGTCCTTTGCGTTAGGGTCCGTGCCCTGCTCTGCTTCAATGACAGCCCCACGCCAACTACAAGCCACAAAAGATTTAGTGTTAGTACCATGACAAAATATTTTTTTCTGACACAGAGGTAAATAAAAAAGCTAATAAAAATGCTAACATTCACTTTGCTCTTTTTGTCCAAAAATCCAGTTTCTAAAACAAGACTGCTCCAGCTGATAAAAGCATAATTAATACAAACAAGCAATTTTCTGAAAAAACACACAATACAATGGAGGTCATTTTAATAGAGCAGTGGAAACCATTATGTCAGTATGTTGAATATCACAAACATTTTTATACTTGATTCCCAGAGCATAGTGTATGGCAACCCACACAAAATTACATCATTACTATGCATGCTATGACACTAGGGCTTTAATCAGGCCTGAAATTTTGGGCTGGAACTGATCAAAGCTCAACAAAATTCTGTATGAACCTGTCCTGAACTGGCCTATTATAAACCTAATATTTCTAATGGTAGCGTTTAAATGATAGCAGTTAAATTACCTTGTACACCACAGATGAATAAAAGAATCTAAAATTATGATAAAATAAAATAACCAGCTGCCCATAATGAAGTTTGTAGTTTAAAGTCCTCTTTAACAAATTTATTCTTCAAGCAATGCTTTACATTATTTTTTCGTCTGGATAAACATTTCCAAATATATTTTTGGTCAAACAAATTAAATATAAGTGTCCTTTTGGGTGGACTAAACTGTACTCTCCTGAATCGATTCTGTATTATTTACCGCATGGCCCTCGTGGACCTCAATGCTAAATTCTTTCAACAATATAGGTGGTGACTAAAAAAATAAATAAACAAAGCAGGGAGAAATATCTTGACCAAAAGGGGTTCAGACAAATACTTCAAGTTCTATATGGCACCCCTACAGAAATCAAACTGACATTTCCTCCAAAGCACACTTGTTTGACGCTTGAGAAAAATGTTCTAAATATTTAAGCTTTGCATTTCATCACTTGTGAACCCTTGCACTAGGAACAATAAGCTCACAGATGACTGCGTGAGATTAGGACAATGGGTAAGGCTATTTGAGCAGGGGCGTAGTCAAGAGGTGGCCAGTACCGCCATAGCATGAAGCCTGGCCACCCCTTTGGCCACACCAATTATGCAAAGTGTGACAGCCATCGTCAATAAAGCAATCACCAGAGAAAAGCTGTACTACCCTGTGAGAACGGTTATTCTTATGGTGAAAAGCTGCTATCAGCACAGTTACCAACCAGCTGTGAGTCTGAACACACTGCTCTCAACAATCAATATAGCTTGCTGTACTGATAATCAGTATAAGCTACTCTTCTGAGCAAACCAGCAAGAATGAATAAGACCAGTGTTAAGAAACCTTAACACTGGTCTTATTCATTTTGCTTAATGAGGCAGCAAACACTGGTTTTATATATCAGGAAACACAGTTAACATCTACATTGATGTAGTATAGTACTACTGTCTTGTCATGCTCTGTGTGGATCACATGAGATGGATCACAAGAAGATTTTAACCACTTTAAGAAAAAAAATAATACAAGAGCCAACATGAAACCAACAACATTTTACTATTACTATTATACATTTTACTTTAATCACTTTCTGCTTTTCCAGACTAAAAAGTGCAATTAAAAATGTGGTTAACCAGACAATGACGTTATTTCATTAATCTACACATAATTATGACCACATTAATCGACTGCCCAGTATTCTCGTTTCCATTGCGCCCTGCGTCCCTTACAGAAACCACAGAGCACGGAGAAGGCCCATCAGCCACATTATATAAAGTAGGATTAGGTAAAACCTGCAAATGACCCCAAATTACTCAGCTGTAATGATGTGCCTCATTAACTATTTCCTTTTTACAGCTGCAAACGTCAGGCTGTGTTCAGGCTAAATTCATCTGAGCTGAATCCAGTGCTAAGGTCAGTATGTCACCAGCTACTATTAGACAGTTTGCTGCTTTATCATTAGACTCACAGGTGACCTGTAGTGAGGGCTGCCTAGATTAGTGACTCCTATGACTTAAAATATTATCGTCACTAAAAAAATGATGTATTTAATTTACTTGTTTCAAATGTGTAAATAATTTCTGTATGAACAAACAAAATACATTCGTTCTGTCTTCAGTTTACTTCCAGTATTAACTGTGTTGAGTAAAATCAATGCAATTTTACTTTATTTTAAAAACTAATATATACACAGAAAAACACTATTAACCACTCTATGTTTTTCTTGGCCAACCCAATAAATTTACTGTGTCTAACCTGGTCACCTCTTTGTAAGAGTCCTAGCTACACCCCTATATTTGAGCGAAGTACATTAACATGCTCACCTGATGAGTGGCTTACTCCCATCATCTTCCTCCACATTCTTTACCTCTGCTCCCTGGTGCTCGGAGCCGTTCCCTTTATTCTGCAAGCGGCTCTGCAGGACAGGTGGCCCTCGCTTACGAGAGTTTCTTCTCTGCTCCAAGAAAAAGAGGACAACTAGTTAGGACAATGGCAACGTGTTGCTTTCATCTGAAAAGGCACTCTACCGTTGTACGGTTAAAATCAGGTTAGTCACAAAACAAGGCCATTAAAAAAATGAAAACTGGTTGCAGCTCTCAATAGTGAGAAATAAGTGGGTCACACTAACCTCAGAAGGTGGCTCAGGAAGAAGAGGCCTGCCCTGATTCTTCAGCTCAACAACAAATGGCTGCTTCCCTTCACCACCGTTCCCCTCTACTGCTGTGTCTGAAAGAGCTTAAAGCAATAAGTACAGCAGCAGTGCCTCAAAATAGATCCATACATTTCTAGCTATTCATGCTTAAGCTTGATAAAGACATGCGTACCTCCCCACTGGGCTGAGAGACTGGGATATGTGGCAATTCCACCAATCAGCAGCAGAACCAAGACGAACAGGATAAGGCTGCGCTGCAGGCGGGATAACTGTTTCCATTTCTGCAAGGCAAACCAGGACAAGACGAGAGTAGGTGCAAAACTAGATCAGTACATTTTAAGAAATCAGCTTGAATCCAGTAAAATACTACAGTCATGTCAACTCAAGTTCTGTGTTAATCAAAATTTTGATAAAGGCTTCTTCTTCTAATAAAGGTGTACTGAGCTACTTTTAAGCACCCATTGCTGACACATGTAATCAATTATGCATACAAAGCTTGTGTATCCTCCACAAGAACTGCCACCAGAATGGGATACTCGGGAGCATTTAAGCCTAAGGACACCATGCCTATTGCTGAGCATTGGCTAGAGGGGTATAAAGCCTCCCAGCACTGGGCTGTGAAGCAGTGGAACTCCACTGTCTTAAGTGATGAACCACCATATTTGGGATAAGGCTGAAACAATTATACAAGATTAAAATCATCTAAAAATATTTCATATCGCTGTTGTCGGGAGAAAACCTTGTGTCTCCAAAATGGTAACTTTACAGGAGAAGGAAAAAACCTACTTTACTTTTAATGTAAGTCAATGGAACCAGACATCTTTCCAAGTCATTCTGAGTCGTTTCTTTTGGTCCATTCGTCATATAATTCACACACAATGTAAAGGGCCACAGGCATTTTCCATTATCAAAAACTGAAAAACGACAAAAATAGAGATATAAGGTTTTCTTCCAACAGCAGCAATATGCAAGCCTGGCTTAGCTTTCCACAGAAGCATAACGTCACCTTTGACCAACGGCTTCGATTCGGAACCAGAATGACAGTGGGTAAATGGATGAAGCTGATTTTAGCTTCTAGTCAGAATGTAACTGCTGCACCATTTAAAGTTGGAATGAAAAATTCAAATTAGAAGCCAACTTCAACCTAGCAGTAAATGATATCTTTCCCTCCATGCCAATGTTCAGACAAACTGAACTGTGGACGCGCAGTTTGCATTGTAAATGATTCGTCAAAATGAGCTGATACCTGTAAAAAAAACATCATTGAAGCTCTCCATGTTATATTACTCATGTTAGCCACTGGAATATTCTAAGCCATATCTGTTAATTAGAGATATTTAGCAGCTACTTTGAAAAACTACTGAACATTCGGCAGCTCGTATTGTCACAGTGTCACACACATTAGCTTGCTAACTATGTAAAGCTGGTTTATTAGTATACAATACCACTTCCATTAACATACAAACATATTTTGTAAGCATAGTTTTCACATGAAAAAAAAAATCCATCTACTCATCCTGGAAACCTCTTCACAGAGCTTGTCTAGTGACCACTATTGCTTATCGCGTACTGTAGTTCAAAATTATGGGCAGTCTAAAACAAAGACCCACACTGTTTTTTCTGTGCGGTTTTAGCTCTTGGTGGACAGTAAAACGGTTGGCAGTCTTCTGACAAATTGAGGTGCTGTTACAGAGCTTCATATTTAGAAGCCGCATTTAAGCAGGCTGACTGATTATTAGCAGATTAACTCACATGAATAATCAAATATCTAGATATATAATAAAATATCTAGACATATACACGCATATATATAGTAGCCCTAAATTAAGATGAGTTGGAACAGCGTTTGTGATCCAGAACTGATCATCCATCAGTTCCTGACCTCACTATGCTCACATAGCTCAATGCAATCAAATCCTCACAATAATGTTCCATCATCTAATGTAAAGGCTTTCCTTACTGCAGCAAAGCTGGACTAACTTCCTAGTAAAACCCTTGATTTCAAATGAAACACTGAACAAGCAGGTGTCTACAAACCTTTAACCCTACTGTGTACATCTAATCACTGCTGGTTCTAACAGTTCAGTCATTACAAGGACAGTGGATTTAAATGTAATCTCACCCGCCAGCAAGACTGTCTGCGCTGCTTGCCGTTCGTGTAGCCTCCACTCTCAGATACAGTCAGAGATACAAAATCCCTTCTTGACGGCGGGAGCATGTCTCTATCTCTCCCCGCAGGGAGAACATAGACAGCGCTATGAAGACTCACTGGGCTGTAAGCAAAACAGAATGAGGACAGTAATGGTTTAAACCCTGATCTTACATCCCCTGTAACAAAGCTGCAGGACCAGTTTATGTGTACAGTGGCCGAGTGGGCATTCTCTCTCATGGGAATAGTAATGCATTAGTAATACCAGCTGTGTTAAAACTATTTAACATGTGCTGTAATCAGCAGATCTCATCCAGACAGCATAAGCCACTTATTCGGACCACATAACTCAAATGTCTCTTATCAAAACAAATCCTCTTTTTTATGAAATAATACAAAATGGAAAAAACATGGAATAATAAAAAACAATTCTGTTGCAGATACGTGTATAAAATGAATAAAATGATTTTATATGTTAGTCCTGTGTGCCTTCACAGGTTTCAAACAATTAGTAGGACACAAAGAAGCTGTGATAAAACTAAGAAATATTAGTGTCCGAATGATGAACAGAGCTGTACAAGATGTAGGCTGTATAGTAAGGATGGATGATGGTATCTGAATCATCTGTTTATCAGCAGAATATTGATGCTCATTGCTAAAAATAAAATTATCAGCATTGGTTTAGACTTGACTGATTTTTCAAATGATGATGTGTTTATTGTACTACAGAAGAGAAGAATGTTTAGGCAACTGTGTTAAAACGTTTACATTTTATTCATTTTAATGCATGTAATGTTTCTCCATAATGCTAATTCAGGTGGGATAAACGGGATGTTGGCATTGTCCCCCAATTCCCATATCTCTACCATACAGCATTGAGAATCAGGTTTTAATACAATGAATGAATTCATCATATTTCAAAAATGCAAAAGAAAAAATGTCATGGCAGATAACGTTTAATGAATGAATCAATGAATCAATCAATCAATTAATAAATTAATAAATTAGAATGTTAATAGATGATTGTAGATATCATGCAAAATTTCATAACTTGTGTTCACATAATTCTTAGAATGTTTAATAAAATACCTAAAAACACATTTTGGCAAATCGTTTTGAATACTTAAATCCACACTGTACATTACTCTTGTATATAATAAAAATATTAATATGGGAAGTGATTGCAAATTTTGAACAGTACTGTAGGTCGTGAAATATTTAATTCATCCAGAATTCATCATATTGCAAATGTGCAAATTTAATCTCATGGCAGATAACAACAATAACAACAACAACAACAAAAATTAATAATACTAATAATAGATAATTGTCGTATACCATGCATCATTTAATGCCTTCTTGCTCATATAATTATTTTAATATTGGATAAAATATCTAAAAACAGATTTGACGAATAAATCCACACTGTACGCTATTCTTGTATATAAAAATATTAATATGGGAAGCGAACTGTTGAACGGTACGTGTAGGTCATGAAATAAGGGCTTCTATATCCACATAGTGCCCTACACCGCACCTGGGACTCAGCATTATTAATAACAGTATTTCCGTATTTCTGACATACCTGACATTTCTGACAACTGTGGCTCAGAAACTTAATCTAGGTTAGTTAAACATGAACCCGCTTCCCGCTCGCCAGCTGAAAAAGCAAACCTAAAAATAAAAAAGCTACAGATTTCAGCCGTGGCTGCTATGGTTAGTTCATTTTGTGTTTTCACACAGGAAAAAACAAAAAAAACTGATAAATGCAAGTTAACGTATCTTATGTTAGCGAATACTAACGTTAGTCATAAAGTGTACGGTACACAGCACAACCTTGTTGGTTTAGTTTCTGGCAGTGGGTAAGTTAATCGTATCTCCACGATAGCTGTTTTCATTCAACCCTAGAAAATGTAATAAACCGTTTTACCTCTCTGTCTCGCCGCTGTTCCGCTGCTGACCAGCCGTCTCGGGCGGAGCTCGTTCGGCTCAGGGTTTCACGCAAGTCCGTGGCATGACGAAGGCCTCCTCCGCTGCGAGCCAACAGCCACCAGAAACGCGCCGAGTCTCATGACTTTACAACAGAGAAGAGCCACATCGCTCTCAAAGTGAGTACATTTTAATAGCGAAGAAAAGCAACATGAATCCGTTCCGGAACGAATCGCTCCAGTGCTGGAAATCAGGATACACGGCAGTTTAACCTCTGACGTGGCTTAACTGCCCGTGAAATAACAGGAAAATGCACTTGTTGTGGCTTCGCTCGCAGGTTGTCATGTGCTGAAGCTCCTGTAGTAGCGGCTGGTTTGGCCACCGCTTCCCATGGGGCGCCTTCTCCAGCTCCAATGAGAAACCTTCCTGTTTTTGATAGGCTAAAAACAGTGTTATCACAGCTAAAGCTGGGCGATGTTGACAGCATTCGATATCACGATGTTTTCTGAACACATCACGGTATGACTGCATTTCTGAATGGCTTTTGATGACAGTTAGTGCATGTACATGCACTTAATAATCCAAAAACTGCAGGAAATCAGATTTTGTCAGTAATCCGATCAGCAAGTTTACATGCACTTGAGTAATCAGATAGTGGGAAACTCTGCGTCTACACGAGTCAGGCAGTAATCAGATTTCTGCTTTGCAAGCAGCCAGTAAACCTCACAGAAGAAGACGTGACGTAGACGTGAAGAAAACATAACGTAAAAGCACAAACTTCATGCTGCAGGTCTTTTTTTAAAACATTGCACCACTTTAACTGAAACTATGAACATACATCATCTAGACGATGAAGAATATTTAAATCCTTTATTTCTTCATCTGATTTCTAAATCGGAGTATGGTCTTTACATGACTATTTGAATAATCAGATAACTGCAGAAATTTGATTATGATTGGATCATTGAGTTCATATATGCACACTCAATGAAATGTTTCAATATGCCAGTTTGCATTAACACAGTCAAAGGGGAATTCCACCTGTTTTTCAACATTTCTACATTGTTAAGTAGTTAACATGTAAACAAAGTCATTCAGAGTGGTTTGATTTGAAATGTGCCGATCTAGAGGAACTGTTGATGCCTTTCAAATAATAGTAAGGAGCCCCTAAGGTGATTTTTAAATAAGACCTGGCCACAAATGAATATACTGCGGCCACGAGTTAAGCTGATTATAACTGGCCTCTTTAAAATATTTTATGGTCTAAATATAGTATTTTTTGAACTCAGTATAATCATTTCGGACTTCAATATAGTAATTCATGGCCTCAGTATATTAACTTGTGGCCACACCTTATAAAAAAATGTACTGTATCACCTTACTGGCCTCAGCTCTGAAAGCTCCCTTACTGTTACATGAAAATGTTCAAAAATACACTGCCTGATGCCAAAGACATTATTTAATAGTAGTTTCATGACCTCTGGTTCCTATCACCACACTGCAAAGAATGTCAGTTGATAAGTTTCTTTACAATGAACCATTTCATGTCAAAACACTTTGACTTTGTTTACATGTTAATTTTTGAATTATGCAGAAATGTTGAATTTTCCTTAAAAAGTCATTTATAGTAGTTTTATATGAAATGATCCATTCTAGAGAAATGTACCTACTCAGAATTACTTGCAGCAGTGGTGAACCAGATGTCTGAAGCATTTAATCCCTCTAAAAGTTAATGTAACAAAAAGTTATTATTACACGAAATGGTTACAAATACATTGCCAATTTTATAATACTGTTGCTATAAGGTTTTGGCCTAAAATATATTCAAAACATATTCACGGCAGTACATGCAGGGCAAAATATCACTAGCAGATCTTTTTATTGCAAAAAAACTGAATAGACAATATAAAGTATGTCTTGTCATAATGTCATTAAATCAATGACCAGCATATTATAAATTAACACATCTTGAACATTATGAACCTTAAACACACATCTTCATACAGATCTGGGAAAACCCCCAAAAAATGTTTTTTTAGATTTACCAAATATATAGATAGATTTATCAAATATATTGTTAAATATATCACTACAACAGAAAAACAATATCAAGATATGTCAATATCATTGTTTACGCAACATACGTATACACGTCACACTACATATCTTTTATCATAAGTGTAACGTACATTACACATATTAGCAAAGAACTAGCCAAGTTCTCCTACTTCAGTTTCTGAGAGGTTTGGTGACTGTAAGCCACAAATTTTGGTTGCTTCAGTTTAATAAACCTTTACAGACATTTCTATGTATTTTCATGCTTCAGTAAAACATTGATATTTCACTGTGCTTTTAGAACATGGCCACTCCGGAAGTTCAAAACTACAGAGAAGAAACTGTTCTAAATTCGCATCGACAATTTTTGCTCTGTATAGCATGGGCTAATTTTATTGACATATTTAGTGTAGGGAATAAAATGTTCCACAATCCCTATAAGTACACAAACTGCGTAAAACTGCTCTGTGTCGTGCTTCTCTCTCTCTCAAATGTACCAGACCCATGTCCCATCAGTAAAACGAGCCCAAGCAGCTCACTCTGATAGGACCGTGACTAAAGGAGACAGGAGTTCCACTGCAGGGACTAATTTTAAAGAAAAAACAGGAGAATGTCGTTCTAAAATTAAAGCTACACTATCTAAGTTTTGGGGATTTGGAGACCTCTGTGGTGGAAATGTGTAATTGCATGCAACATGTGATGGAGCATTTTGCAACAACGGTTGTGCTTCAGCCCCTTTCCCCGAGTGGATAAATGTTGAAGGAGTATTCAAAGAGAACTCAGTCAACACTTGGTAAAGGGCGTGTCTTCCAAGAATGTGAGTTAATTAACTACTATTGTTATCATCTCTTCATCAGCATAATGTTGATTTTGCTTTTGAGACCTAAACATCAAGCTGGACCCTTTTTTTTGAACCTGTGCTTGTAACATTAATAACTAAAGACCATGACGTGGTCTGAGAAATGAGTAATACATATTTCACATGTAGGTTCATGAATGGGTCTTCCTGTTAACTGAAAATGTAGATAAAAGTGTCAATAGTCAATCTAGTGGGTTTCAGATTTAAACTGAGAGCAAATCATCACTGGCAGAACTTTTTATTGCATCAAGAAAATATTGAATAGACAATATAAAGTATGTCTTGTCATAATGTCATTAAATCAATGACCAGCATATTATAAATTAACACATCTTGAACATTATGAACCTTAAACACACGTCTTTATACAGATCTGGGGAAAAAAACGGACCTGAACAAAAAGCGCAGCATCAAACAGCAGCATCTGTGTTAGCCAGCTGTGCAACCACATCTGCAGTTTTTGATATGATTTTGACATTGTAGTTGCTTATGAGTGTCATGAATCAGAAATATTCACTTACCCCTCATTTGTTTTAAGAGAATATACTGTACAGATCAGATGAGAGCCGAACGTTGTGCGGTAACTGCTATAGTATTTTAGATATAGAATGATACTATATTGTCCTTCCATCTTACAGTACTGTGCAAAAGTCAGAGACCACCCTTTCATTTATTTCATTTCTTGTCAGAACAGCCTTTATGCAAAGGTTATTCATTTTCATTGTCAAAAAAGAAGCAAGAACCATTCATTTGACAGTAAATTACACCACAACTAAATATAATTTCAAATGTTGGAGTTTCCGTTCTTTTCAAGAGACTTACTTTCAGTTTTTCAAAGAAATCTGCAGGGATATTGTTCCAAACTCCAAAGTTCTAGGCAGAAAACATATATTTAACAGACAATTACACAAAAGCAACAAACACTCAGTATAATATCAAACGCATCAGTATTTAATTTGTCCACTCTTTACTTTTGTGCACCTACTGCCATGTTAACTCCTCCGTCTTTTCAATCTTAAAACCAACCAGTTACAGCTGCATCCTCCTAACAAAGGCTGTTCCCAAAGGAGTCACTGATATTATATTCACCTTCAAAGAAATACTAACATTGAAAATACATGAAAAAACACAAGTTTTTTTTAAAAAAATTAAAAGATACAGGGAAAATGGGGCTCCAACTGTGCACGACCTGGTAAACCACCAACTGTCCCCCAGGAGATAAACAAAACTTTAATCTTTCATCCTTTTGAGAAAATCAAGATCCACTCTGGTGTTTCTGTCCATCCTTCCACTGTGAGAAGACAACTCAGTGCTATGAGTCTGAAAGGATGTGTAGCTGTCAAGAAGCCGTTACTGAGAAAAAAGAAATAGACAAAAACGGGAAAATTTGCAAATCAAATAAAGAAGCTGCTGGTGTTCTCAGAACACTGGACTCAACATGACTGTGTTTGGGATTACTTGGATCGCGAGAAGCAGAAAATGTAACCAATTTCCAAGACAGAATTTTGGAGATGTAGAATAATATCCTTGCAGATATCTCTGAAAAACTGAAAGCAAGTCTCCCTAATAGAATGGAAGCTGTTTTAAAGACAAAAGGTGAACAATAAATACTAAAGAAATTGATATTACATTTAGCTGTTGAGGCTTCTGTGTCATTTTCTGTTAACTGTATGTGTTCTGCTTTTTTCAGAACACTGAATTATGAATAATTTGTATTTAAAGGCTGTTTTGATTGGAAATTAAATAAATGAAGGGTTATCTCTGACTTTTCCACAGTACTGTATATCACAATCTTTAGTTTTGTTCTCCATTTGAGGCTTTCCGGTTTAAAACCATCTAGGGTGAGGATGCCTTTGAGATCACAGTGCGTTTGGTCATAAGTTGCGACAACCTGAAATGAGAGTGCATCTTTGAGCAAACCAAGTGTTTGTACAGTACCAACAGCTTTGCAACAAACCTGGATGATGGCATTGTACCAATACAACAACAATACATAAATAAGAAGCATCAATTAAAAAAAAGCATTGTAAACAATACAACATGAAAACAATACAGTTCCTTTCAGGAATGTGTGCAGTAAAGTATCATTGCCACTGGGCAACAAGTCGATTGACTTTGGTAAACTACATATAGAAGTAATAAGAAAGATTTATTGGCCTTCTTGAGAGAAAAAACAAAGCCAATTATGTGTAGATCTTGAAGAATTGCTTCTCTCCTTTTGCCAGCAAATCCTGCTGTGTTTAACAAGGGACCAATTAACAACATCTCTGCAGTCGGCAGTCTATAGGGAATGTGGATGTGTGAAGAGGAGGTGTTTTACAGGCTTCTAGCTGAAACACACGGGTCCGACAGTAAATCCGAAGTCTTCGGTGAGGTCACTATGGCCAAACAGTGCCAAGTCTCTGATTGGCAAAAGGTCCAGGTCTTCAGTTTCAAACTGGAA